ATTTAAACATACATACGCTCCAGTCACAGAAGTATTCGAGACCAATATTCTTATCATTTATGTTAAATTAAATTTCTCTAAAAATAAAACGTTCTTTCGCAATCAAATTGATATCAATATGAAAGTTTAATAATCCTAAAATATGTTTCCGTTTAAAAGAATATTAAAACTGCATTATTACAAGCAAATATCAATTATTTCGAATTGATAATGATTAGTGGGTATGAATAATCCTGTAACTTTTACATATATGATTTAATTTTCGCCAAATATATGTATGTATATGTATAACTATTCCTATTATTAATGAATTAATTGTAGAAAGAGAGAAGTAACAATTTTCGTACGTACATAAGAACGAATGATTCGCGGTAAAACACATTAAAAGGCCTCTATGTATGTTAGTATTATTATTATTAATATTAATAATGTTAATTGCTGTAAAGAAAATCTTAGAACATTTTCGATTACGAATTTTCAGGAAGTAGATAAATAAATAATTAATTAAATAAATGAATAAATAAATAAATATGAAATATTATATACGAGAAATATATTCTTCGTGTGTCGAATGAATATTAAAAAATTATATATATATATATATATATATATTATATACCAACGTCTAAACATAAAAAAAAAAGGAAATAAAAAGAGAAAAAAAGAAAATATTGGACAAGTGTTATCGAATAGAAAAAAAAATGATGTAATTAATATGTGTTGACAATCGTCAATGTTCTGAGCTTAGAGAATGATTGATAAAGAAAAAAAAGAAAGAAAGAAAAAACGTAATAAGAAGAAAAAAATGAAAAGATAAAAAGAGCGTCTTATAACATCACGTGATTTTTGAGTTTTTAATCGTCACACACTATAAATAAATAAATAAANTATATATATATATATATATATATATATATATATACGAAGATTTATAATGGGTCTTGCAAAATCGTCTATATTAAATTAATAATTATACAGCACGTTCACATGCGCTTCTACACACACATATCCACATACATGATATATTGAAGGAATACGTCATTATTGAGTAATAATCTACTTATGTATCTTATTATAATATAAATGCAAGAATTTGCAATTATTTTCTCAACTTGAGAAAGAAGAAGAAGAAGAAAGAGGAAGGAGAAAAAAGGAGGTGGATAGGGAGGAAGAGGAGGAGGATACACATTTCGTTGTAACAACAATTAATTTACTTATTCATATTATGCAACTACACATGATATGTTCAGTATTCGTTAAAAGAAATTACTGCGATTTTAGAAATATGTAAACTTTAGATTTCTAAAATATATTTTATTAACGCATATTTTCATTCTATTTTTAATATTAATATATACGATACTAACGAGGAGGAGGAAAAAGAAAAGAGAGGGATTTACATTAATTAAATTCTTCTAATGAGACATTATTTTCAATTGATTTTTCCGTGAGGGTAAATTTAACTAACATTTTATGAAATGATATGTAATACAAATGTTTATGGATGCAATTGAAAGAAATATACTGCTAATACGTTATTTAGTTTCCTTTTTATATTTATAATTAATAAATTTGCGAATTCTCCGGATGCAGTTTATCTTATGGTTTCCCATAACGTGTTAGGCTCAGAACTTTTCAACCCTCCTTGCTTAAGGCTCAGAACTTTTCAACCCTCCTTGCTTATGGCTCAAAACTTTTCAGTCCTCCTTGTGTCGCCATCTATCGTGAATTTTAGACTTCATACACATACATACACATACTGCACACTGAAGTACTTTATATGTATATATATATATATATATATCATATATATAGTTATTTATTTTTTGGTTATGTTATTTATATTACCACAAAACAATTTCACAAATGCTTGAAACAAAAATAACATTAATTACTATTATGCATTAATTTTTTATGTATTGAAATATTTACGTAAGTTTGCATTAATTTAAAATAAATTTTCGATTAGAAAATATCGAGTTTGAACATTTTTCTCGCTAGATAGCGAATTATTAGAACTTTTAAAGCTCACATCAGTAACACAATTTTACGTATATCAGACATAAGAAGGTTTTACAATATTAGGTAAAAGAAAAATATAATTATGCATTTACTTTTATATATTATTATGTTTATAATATTAATACTGGACAATAATAAAAGTAGTCTAACGATATCTCGAAATACGATCTTTGATATAATATTATCGTAATTACCATTTCAGTTACCAAACTATTTCAACTGACTCCATTGTATAATATAATTGATTAAGAATTTATTATATATATAAAATCTAGTATACTTAAAGTTACAAATCAAAAATAATGGGTGATGCAAATGAGAAAAAAATGGGAAAGAGTGAAAATAATATGAAGGAACATATTTCATCACCAATATCAGAAAGTAATTTTTCATTTAATATAAAAGATTAGATTTAATTTTTTTTTTTTTTTTTTAAGCACAACACTAACATATTTATTGATCATTGCTTATAAATTATATAAAACTTTCTTTTTATATATACTTTCTCATATTTTAGATACTCAATCTACTGATATTTACTCAACAGATACAAATAAGGAACAAACAGAAACCAATAAATCTGCAGGAAAAAACAAGAATGTGGAAACTAGTGATACTCAAGAAGTAAATTATCTTATTATGAATAAATAATTTTTGTAATACATTTCAATGCATTAACGTTTGTAACATGATTTTAGCAATCATCGGCTATACAACGTGATACAGAAACTGTAAAACAATTGAAGAATCAATTGGAAACTTTAATGAATTCTTTGGCCACATTGTCCGCAGAAAAATCAAAGATGGAAGCTAATTTTCAAAACGACAGAAAACAATTAAGAATGGAACGTGAAGAAGTGAGATATTGTTTATTACTCTCATAAATATTTACTACTATTTGCATATGATGATGTATTTTAATTTTAAAATCTAATCTTTAACATATGTTTTACTTTATCTTTGTTTTATTCAGTGCGAGAAAGTAATAAAAGAATTAAAAGAAAAATTAAAAAAGGGACAAAATCATAATGCATCTGAAATGGAACATATTAAATGTAAATTAATTATGGAACGCCATGAAAGGGAGAAAGAAAGAACGAATCATGCATCTACGATAAAGTACGTATTATTACAGATATACTGGTCAGAATATGAGAGCATATTCTACAAATAGAAACAAAAAAACAATGTTATTTCCATTTGTAGAATACGCTCCTGCAGTTTGGTAGGTAAATCCTAGGACACTTTGTATAAATAACGGTATCTAATATTAAGTATGATTGTTACATCTTTGTAACATAATAAGTTTTTCAGAGAACTGCAAAAGATGCTAAACGAAGAACTTCGTAATAAAGAACAATTGGAGCAGCAATTGAAAAATTTATTTGCCAATAAAACGCAATGTAAAATTTTAGAAGCGGAATTAGAAATAACCAAAAATAAATTGAAACAAGCAGAAGAAGCAGCTAAAGTGACGCCACCTCTTCTTCTTTCGTTACAAGCTGAAATGGTTGCTATGAAGAAACAACATCGTAATGCTATACTTGAAGTAAATAACATTATGTTATGTCATTAATGTATTATATATCAAATTATATGATATAATTCATTTTTATTGTTAAATTATTAAGGAACAGAGAATAGCAGCAGCTGCAGAACAACAAGCTAGAGTATTAGCTATGACTCATGAAAAAAGAGTAGCAGGCTTGGAATCTCGTTTAGCTGAACTTTCCGAAACTGTTGGAGAATATGATAGATTACGACAACAAGATCAACGCTCTATTCAAAATCTTAAGGATCAGTTATCTAATATGCAAGATGTAGAACACAAAGACTGTATCAATGTGCCAAGTGAACCAGAAGAAATTATTTCTAAAATAAAAATGCTATATGGATGTTTATTACATCTAGACAATAAGAAAGATGATTCAGCTTACGTTGACTGTAAGTAAAATACCAATTGAGTTAATAGATATATAAAAATAAAATAAAAAATAAAATAAAATAAGTAATATTTTTCAATAAATTGTAACTACTTTGAATTTTCAGTGCTGTTAAAAAATTTAGAGTTAAACGGTAAGTATAAAGACTCTGAATATAAAGAAAAGTATGAATCTTTATTAGAAGAATTTAAAATGTATAAAGAACAAGTAACAACTAAATATGATGTTGATACAAGCCTTTTACGTAAAGGGCACCAACAAACTTATAACTTATTGGATTTACGTGATAAAGAAAATAGTCAAACTCAATTGCATTTACTTAAAACTTATAATAACAATTTAGAAGAAAGAATACGCACATTAAATAGCAAGTTAATACAGAAAGAACAAGAACTACAAATAAAGATAGATTATTACCAACAGGTAAATTCTTTTTATAAAACATATGTGAACCTATATATATATATATATAGAAATTAAAATTAAATTAAAATATACTATCTAATATAAAATGTTAACGATTTGTATCGAAATTTACAAATTTACAGTTATCACAAGTAGAACGTGCCAAATCAGAACACATATTATCCCAAAAGGAAAATGAATTTCGTAGTAAGTTGTGTACATTGGAACAGCAATTACTGCGACAAAGAGAACGATCCATTGCACTTGTTCAAGAAAAAGAGAAAGAAATCTTTGCATTGAAAACTTCCTTTCATGCATTATTACCAAAAAAAGATTCATCTTTCTTGGAAGGTGAAAGGAGTATAACAAAATACGAAAATAAATCAGAATCCTCTGCCGATATAGTAACAGGATTATTAAATAATGATAGTCCTCCTATATTACATTATACCCAAGAATTGGCAAGACACGAAGTGCAAATATCATCTACCAGAAAGAGAATATTAGAATTAGAGGCATCATTAAGAGAAAAAGATAGACAATTGCTTCATGTAACCGAGAAACATAAAGAAGAATTAAAAGCTGTACAAACACAAGTAGCAAGGTATTTGAGCATTTACGATCATTGAGTATATATAAAAGGCAAACATATATTTTTGTATATATTCTTACAATTCAGGTTAGAAGCATGTAAATCTAGAGAAGGAGCTAATTTAGAATATTTGAAAAATGTACTTATCAATTATTTAACCACAAATGATTCATCGAGCAAACGACATATATTAAATGCTATATCTACAGTTCTACGATTTACACCAGATGAATTAGAGAAGGTCAATCTTGTTAAATAGATTTTGGAATTTCAGTAAATAAGTAAATATTATTACAACAAAAAACATATCTCTATGTTTTTATATTTTCATTATACTTCACTATTAATAGAATATTGGTAACAAAAAAAAAATAAGAAATAAAATTAATTAAAGTAAATATAAAAGTAAGCAATTATTTATTCTGTAAAATCATTATTAAGCTTTTCAGATATCTTTGTACTATTCTCTGTAGGCTTACTTGGAGATTCTATTTCTAAAGTAACAGGTCCGTTATTTTGTATGCTAACTTCCATCATAGCTCCAAATATACCATCTGTATAAAACAATTCAATTACAATCTTTTATTCTGTTTTGTTTCTTTAGGTTTACTAAATATTTTTGTTTTATAAGAATTAAATCAACTACCTTTAATTAGTTCTGGTTTATAATTTTTACCCAACTCATTCAAAAAGTTATTATAAAATTGTTCTGACTCTTGAGCTGGCATTGCTCTATGAAAATCAAGTTTATTTCCTTTTAAAACATGATACAATGTAAACTGGCTGACGCACAAAATCTCATACTTTTTATCCATAACACTGGCACTCCATTTCTTGTTACCATTTTCAAAAAGTTTGGTATTTAAAATTTTTCTTACTCTATAAAAATATTACACCTCAAGTGAAATTTTATTAGATATTATTTAAATAATAAAATTAACAATTGATATAAATTCGATAAATACATATACTTTAAGTCATCCAAAGTGTCACCTCTTTTTATACCAATTAATACGCAGATTCCATTTCCAATACTGCTAATAACTTTACCGTCCACTGAAAATAGAATATGAAAAAGTAACATATTTTTTTAATAATTAATATGATACTACAAACATATATGATTATTATAATCACAGATTACATTAGCTATTGTTATAATAATCAGTTATTTTCAACAATTAATTAAAAATAATTCATTTACTATAATAAAACTTTAATTATTAGTATCAATATTATGGCAATTACAATGTAATATTTTAAATAAATTTGATGTTGTTTTCAAAAACAATTGTTTGTAAAAAAAGGTAGCATATAGGTAAGTATAAGTGTATCTTATATTATATTAAATAAAAAAAAAATAAAAAATTCTCACTAAAATGCAATTGTTTCCTTATCATATTTCTTGCATGCAGTTTTTTTGTGAAGTATGTGTATATTACCTGTAACAGAGGCACTCGTTACACGTTGTATTATTGCTTTCATATTCTTTCACAATCTTTATTATTAATGAATTATATATACATTTTGTCAAATAGATATAACACATTAATCTTTCGTTATCTGCAGGGGTTAGGTTCCTACAATGTTATGCACTTGTTATGCATATAACGAAGTCGCTGGTAATGAAACTAGACGGCCATATATATTAAAGAAGTTAGGTTAAAGTTCCGTAATTTTTAAATTTAGATATGAAAATTGAATAATTTATATTAGTCTTTTTTCTGTCACAAATAAATAAATTTCAAAATTAAAAATAAAACAAGAAATACAATAGTGTAATTAACATCACAATTGTTACATACATATATGTAATAACAATTAACGACATCGAAGCAAATTGTGCTATAGAAGTTTGATTTATTTTTTCTTTAATTCTTCAATCTAATTCAAGAACTTGATTAGTTAACTATTCTACTAATGAAATTATCTCATGCAATGTTTTTGATTTGTGTTCGCGGTAAATTTTCGCGCCAAATTTTGAACCTCGAGTAACCAAAACCGCGGATAATATAAGATTTAAATTTTGACTATTAATTTTGTATAACTTGTATTATCACTTTATTTGAATGTTATTCCATCTTTATATATTAATATCATACATGCATTTTATTAAATAGATACAATATTACCAATGCAATATTTCGATACAATGAAACTCGATCATTTATAATCGATAATTTAAAATTCCGGAAATGCAATTTTTGATATATGCATACATATTGTAAGTACAGCTCATAGGTGTTTAAATAAAATAACAAAAGTATAGTAAAAAATACAAAAAAATTGTCATAAGCAATAAAAGTATAAAACTAGAAAGATGATTATTGTATTTTGACTATTTAAAAAATACAAAAGAAAAAAAAAAGCTCAAAAGTCCCCTTTTTTATCTACACAGTTTCATTTTTGTAATTACTGGGACCACCAGTAGGCAATAGTAGATACTTAAAGCGATGACGGTACAATATTAGATTGCTATATCTTCTATTGATTTCGCATACAAAAAAATCTTTCCGCGCCACGCTATGTATGATTTCGAGCAGACTATGTTTGCAAACATGCAGGCTTGTCGATTGTGTTACTATGTATGATAGTATATATAGTACAGTTATATTAATATCGTAATAGAATTATAAATAATTATAATTAATTTTTAGTGTATAAACGTGTGTGCCTTCAGAAATGCATTTATATATTACATTAGGAGCTCTAGTAGAATAAAATCAAAACAAGTAGATGATAAATCCAAAGATGATCACCTGTAACAAAAAGAAAACTATATTAATCAACAATCAAGTGATACAATAGCCTGACATATAAATCGTCCAATTCGTAGATGCACTTTTCAATTGAATTCTCTATTTATTTTGATCAACTCTCTATTAACTGTTGCAATATAATTAAATTTAAACGCGTGATTTTACATTTACATTACATATTTAAAAAAAAAAAAAAGGAAAAGTACAAGTATTGATTTACTAACAAAAATAATATCTATTAATAATTACGAACTACTTTTAAATTGCATTATATGGAAAAGAAAAATTACAAATTTAATAAAATACAATCACAATGAAAAATCTTAAAGACGAAACAAGAAAAGAGAAATTACTTTAATATTCACCGAGAACGTTATTTAAGCTTAAAAATTAGATAATACAAAAATTTTAATATTTTTGACTCTAACTAGAACATATGCATCTTTTTGACGATTTTGAGGAAAACAAATTTGGTGTCCCAAGGAGATGGAATGGTCCATCATCTCCAATTAAAACTACAAATTAATGACGAGCAAAAATGTAATACAATAAAATATAAAATACGACTAGAAAGCTATTTTCGAAGAGTTCGAACTTGCTGTTGAACCTTTGAAAATAACTCAATAGTCTG